TTTTAGAAAAATCTTGTAAAAATGGGAGTATCAAATATGATACATGAGGCTTTTTGAGGAACTTTTATTTGTATTTCTCTTACTCATCTTTGTACTGCATTGCATTATATGCACAATTCAAACTAAAGAGCTTTGATGATAAAAATATGAATTAAATATAATCTTACTAAGACTATTATTATTGGTAGATAGAACGGCAAATTATATTTTACTGTATGCATAGTATGCTCCATACTATAAAGACCTTATTGTTTTACATTACAAGTTATTAGAATTTTATCTTACTTTTTGACCATATAAATATTAGCAACTGCACCAAATTACATATTTGTGCTCAGTTTGGTTCTCCGAATAAAATTTTTGTTTTTTTCCCTCGAGTATGAGCTCCATATTTGTATGTATGAAATATACTCATAAAAAAAAAACATAATTCAACACATTTTTAATTTTATTATTACTATTATTATTTTTTAGATTTTATCTAATAAACTCTTCTATTAAAAAAAAAAAAGATTTTGCTTAAAGACTTATCAAGATTTAAGCCTGGAGATTATAGGAACAGATGCCGGTCGTATATAGACTCAAGATATTTACAAGGCAACCACATAAGGAATAAATCAACCAAAAATGAAAATTCTGGCATTATGTATTTCACCCTCATGTTGTTCCAACTCTGTAATTTTTAACTCCACAACACCAGTCAAATGCTTCCTTTTGTGATCTGATGATGCTTCCTGTCACAGAATGAGGCAGAAAATAAGTTTTGGTCTAATTTAACATGAGAGTGAGCAAATAATAACAGAATTTTCATTTTTTTTGGTGAACAATTCCTTTTAGAACGACACGGTGGCAGAAATTAGGTGAAGTTATGACTCACCATTTTGGGATTGAGACGGCCGTTGGACAGCTCCCCAACAAAGGTCAGTTTACTAGGAGAAGTCTGTCTCAAGAGATTCTTTCTGACGCCTTCTACAGCCTGAAGATAGTCCTCCAGCAGCCTAGAAAGATAGACATGCATGGTACTCTGCATTTGATTTGAAGCGATTAAGTTCGCCCTCTAGAGGCAAAATAAGCTATTGCATTTTAATTGTACATTGAGAGCATTCCAGACTCCAGTTGATCCTCATACGTGTCTCTGTGATGTATAAAATCCAACATATAGAAAGCGAGGGGTGCAATTCAACCCCATCAAGGTCTTAGTGAGATTAGCCAGACAGGATACAGAGCTCATTTAAATGGACCACCTTCCCCGTCAATGACTAGTATATCCATCACTGACCTGGTCTTGAGTGGATCTGATATTCCAGACCAGAGATATTTATCAAACCTCATTAAAGGGGTCATATGATGTGATTTCAAGTTTTCCTTTCTCTTTGGAGTGTTACAAGCTGTTTGTGAATAGATTAGATCCCTAAAGTTGCAAAGACTAAAGTCTCAAACACAAAGAGATATTTTTAAATAAAAGTTAAGACTCCTAAAACGCCTCGTTTAAACACGCCCCCCACATGTCTACGTCACTGTGTGGAAAGATTTGCATAACACCGCCCAAATGTTCACGCAAAGAAAGAAGGCGTAACTTTATTGTTGCTGCCACCGCCGCCGCCATGTCGTGAAGACGCTGTGTGTTTCGTTGCGAAAGCGAAAATACTTTGTTTGGCCTTCCAAAAGAGGACACGACTAGAAATCAGTGGTTAAGTTGTTTTTACAACACTGTTCCAGAACAGTTCAACCCAAATATTCAGATGTGTGCAGTGCATTTTATGGAGGACTGTTTCCTGATCCTGGTAGAGTAGACTACAATGCCGGCTGTTCTGACTCACAGACTGTAAGTAAGTTTTCATATTTAAAGGATTTGCCACTGATGATTCAAACGCGAGTTTTGAGCAGTGTAGAGTAGCGCTTGTTGTTTGTCATTTCTCAGCTCACAAATGTAGACATGGTTTTATGTTTACGTGGCGCGATGCAATGCAACGCGTAAAAAGATAAGTCATTATAATCCGTAATTATGTCCCCACTGGATGCAAAGAATGCCTCGTTTATAATGGGTTTTAAAGTTTTTGTCTCATTGCTCCGGGACATGGCAACACAGTATGTTAAGGGGCGTAACATTTCCTTCACACGCTTGAGGTATTCAGCCAATCACAACGCACTGGATAGCTGGCCAATCAGAACACACCTCGATTTTCAGACCGATGAGCTTTGTAAAAATTGATGCGTTTCAGAAAGGTGGGGCATAGAGGAGAAACAATAATGTACAGTATGTGGAAAATAATGTGTTTTTTGAACCTTAAACCGCATAAACACATTTCATTACACCAAATAATGTTATTTTTAGCAGCATCATATGACCCCTTTAAGAGTCAGTGTCTACTGAACCCCACTGAACACCTTTTTATTGAATTATTCAAAACCAAACCCTATGAAAAAAATAACATCAGCGAGAAGCAAGTGCATATGATGTCAACACAGCAGGACGAGACTCAGGTGTGAGCAGAAGCACTGACGTGAATGACAATAACTCGTCAAGCTCAACAGAACCTGAATCGCACCGGCAGAGAGAACAGGAAGACAGAATAACATCCTGTCAAATGCAGAAAATGGCTGATGTCGCATTTCGCCAGAAGCGAAGGCACCTTGGCATCGTCCCTAATGGTGGACATATGCAAAACATGCCTGTGACAGTTGTTGTCATGATGCTGCGCAGTCTTACAGGGGCTTTTTCACCCGTTTACTGTCAGTTAGACAACAAAACTTAAGTTCAGCTGGTTATAAAAGTAATAGGACTTCTCTCCTCAAACAATTTGAGATGTCATTCATGTCTGGGATGAGTTATGTGGAGATACAACAAGCTGACAATTAATTATTTGATGACTGATAAATGGCCGATATTACAATTCAATACTATTTTGACTAAATAAATAAAACACTAAAACATAAAATCAATCATTTTAAATGTGACAAGAGAATTTAGGCATATTAATATTATAATGAAGAGTATAAAAATAGTGCATAAATGGTATAAAAGTACAATGTTATAAAAAATGGATATTCATTTTTTAAATTTCATAAAAAAATAAAATAAATTGTTATTAAATTATTTGCAAGCGTTAAATGATGGCAAAGGTAATCTAAATGTAAAAATAGTGAAAATGAGAATGCAGGGGTAAATACTGTCTGATGTATTTCAAATATCAACTGATACTGATCAGTATAATGCATAAATATGCACAGCAATGAATACAAGTAAAAAAAGCATAATATATTATAATCCTATAATAACACTACAAAAACACAAATAATTGTTATATATATATATATATATATATATATATATATTTTATAATATGTAATTTCTCAATTGGTAAAAGGAGTAAATACAGTAATAATGTGGTAATAACATGGTAACATTCAAAACTTCCACATGAATTAATTATTGACACGTTGCTGATCAGATAAAATATGTTTTTAATTTATGACTGTTTCATAAAATAATTTTTTTTGTGAAATGTGAAAATAGTAAGCAGATTTTGAATGCATTTTGAGCCCTTTTTCTTACTGCAAAGAACATTTTTTAAATCTGAGGAAGCTTTTTCCACTATAAAGACCCTTTCGATCAAAGGAAGGGTTTCATGGATGTTCAAGCCAATAATGGCCTGTTATTTTTAGGAGCGTCAGACGAGCATCTGAAGACACGCGCAGCTCCTGATGTGTGTTAAGGGAGGAAAGCGAGCGGCTCGTTCTGCAGACGCTGCAGGTGCTGTAATTGCGTGAGGAGAGACGCTCCTCGGGCTTTTAATTAAAAGTAAACACACCGGTGTGTTCAGTGCAGCGGGAGGACGGTCAGACGGCCAGGAAACACAACAAAGAGCCCACGCTGACACACACACACACACACATAAACCCCTACTTAATACCTAACCATGAGTAATAGTGATGCAGGAAATTCAGTTAAAATTTATTGCATTAGTATACTGATTTTATTTATATATTAAAATACGTTGAGCAACATTGGATCAACCAATAGTGTGAGTTTGGCATGGGTCTGTTTGACTGTCCAATAGCTGACAGTTCAGAAAGCCTGTTTGAAAACGGGCATTCTTTTTTGTGACTGTTTGGTGTTTCTAATGTGCACAAATGACACACTTCACCTTTCTTCTAATTCACAAGAGGTTTTTAAGTGCTAGAGAGCAGACGGTGACATTCAAACAGAACCATCTGCACTTGAAATACAAAATGTAATTTAAGACCACTTAAAACGAATTCCACCAAGAAACAACTAAGACATCAGAATAAAATATCTAATAGTGAAAGCACTGAAGTGACCTCCAGGTTTTCAAGATTAATACAAATACCCTGTACCATGTCAATGGGTTTCAAAAAGCAGTCCTTATGTAACTATTAAAACACGCTCAGTCTTTTTTTTCCTTTCCCAGTGCAATTCACCCTGTCACTGACTGACAATGTGAATAGGGTTGGGTATGTTTTTTTTTCTCGATACTGGTGCCAAATCGATACTTTAAAAAATAAATAAATAAATAAATTCCCCCCAAAAATTATGGATTGGTCATTAGCACTATAAACACATGATGTCTGTTTCATTCATACTGGACGCCAGAGGGCGCCCTCGCACAGAAAATCCACATATCCAGTCACAGAAGTAGCAGAACTCTTGACCCTCCAGGAAATCCCTTATATAGACAAAGGCATGGCTATTATAGCTGTAACTGAGTAAACAGAACATATAAACGTTTTGAATGATAAAACAAAGACAATAAACACTTGACTGCGACAATATAGTTTATCGGTGTTATTTAAGCCATCTCTGGTATTTTTATAATAATTAAGTATATTTATAATAGGGTGACCCTATTTTAGTTTTCGAAAGAAAGGACAGTAGGGGCAGTTTTTTTTGTGTATTTGCTTATTTTGTTTTTATAATAAATAAAAAGAAAACAAGTAGAAAGATTAGAAAAAGAATAGGGAATGTTAGTGTTAGAGTGTCATTTTTAAATAAAAATGAAAATTCAATAGAACAGAAAAAGAACAGATAATGCTGGTGTTAAAAGGTAATTATTTATAATAAATAAAAAGAAAATAAGTGGAAAGAATAGAGAATGCTAGTGTTAGAGGCTCTTTTTTCTTTATAAATAAAACAGGTAGTTAGAATAGAAATAGAATAGAGAGTGCAAGTGTTAGAGGATCAAGTTTTTTAATAAAAAAAAACAAGCAGATACAATTAGAAGTAGCATTAGAATCGAGAGTGCTAGAGTTAGAGGGTCAAATGAAGATGAAAGAGATGTGTTTTCAGCTGTTTCTTGAAAATATTGAGAAACAAGTAGAAAGATTAGAAAAAGAATAGGGAATGTTAGTGTTAGAGTGTCATAGTTAGAATAGAAATAGAATAGAGAGTGCAAGTGTTAGAGGATCAAGTTTTTTAATAAAAAAAAACAAGCAGATACAATTAGAAGTAGCATTAGAATCGAGAGTGCTAGAGTTAGAGGGTCAAATGAAGATGAAAGAGATGTGTTTTCAGCTGTTTCTTGAAAATATTGAGAACTCAGCTGCTTGGATTGAGCTGGGCAGGTCATTCCACCAGGAGGGAACAGTTAATGTAGAAGTCCATGAAAGTTTTATCATAGGTAGAATGCAAAATGTTTCAATACAAGCATTTCAGTCAAATGTAATTTATGCAATATTTCAAACCTTTAACCCACTTGGGAAAATCAACCCATGGCAACAGTTTAAAAATAGCCCAATTCTGTGGAAAAAACGCGGACTTTGCAACCCTGCATCCAAGAGCTACCGGAGTCAGCTTTGACTGATCACAGGTCGAGAATAAGGAGAGATGACTGACAAAACCATGCTGGAGTATTTGCTGCTCAACAGATCCTGAGCTCACTGACAAATATCTGATCTTGTGAGATGTGCTACCTTTACACAGAGTGCGTGTCATCGCGAAATCGAAAGTGAAAGTAAACAGCGCAAACGCTCATTCAAAAATATTTGAGGACGTATGGGTCACCCTAATTTATAATATATTGCTAATCGATGTATTCTTTTTAAAGTAGCATATGGAACATATTTTCTGCCTCATTCTGTGACAAGAAGCATCATCAGATCACAAAAGGAAGCATTTGACTGGTGTTGTGGAGTAAAAAGGTTATAATGTTCTCTTTTGTTGGATAACAGGTTTAGAAATGTGAATACAAGGGAAGTTTAGCTTTAGGTATTTTAATTTAAGCATGTTTAGCTTAGTTAACGGAAGGCTACCTGCTGCCATCAGAGCAAGTGTAATTACTGCATTCACGCGCTCCTCGAATGCTCTCATTTCCCAAGTTGTGCTTTTAAGTCGGAATGTGAAAACAACATGGACACTCTCGTTACTACAAAGATGTTTTGGATTTGTATTATTAGAGCTTTCCGACTTGAGTTCATGTGCATTTTCTCAGTCGGGAAATTATTTTTCACGTGCGGTGCCAGTGATGATGCTTCTTACGTCCGTTTCGGAGAACCAGAGGACAAATATTTCAATCGATCGCTCAGGCATGGCACCGAAATCTGCATTCGGTTCTAGTACATACCGGTTACATAGGTACCAGTGATATAATGGTACCGGGTTTCGGGTACCCTACCCTAAATGTGAATCAATCATATCACCCCATCTGTGACCAGAATAATAACCTCAGTACATTAGGCTCAGTGAGCATCGCCAATTCCCGGGAACCCATTAGCTAAAAGCACCAATGGGCTATTGACACTCGGGCTAAGCGCTGAATTTATGAACCGTCAGCCAAAGCTGCATTTGTATCTGCTGTTAACTCACTCAGTTTCTTTCTTGCCACCCTGCAGCCACTGTTTGAGCAGGTACTCGTAGTAGCTGTCCGCACGGGCCCCCAGCGTCAAGGCCCCTCGACGTGTGAATTTCCCACTGTTTGTGTTGATGAACATGGGCACCAGACCATCACGCTTTCCCTCCAGTCGGTGGACCTGTCTGGTAACCTCCTCCACTGCATTCTGAAAACCGAGGAAGACATAAAATAAAAAATAAATAAAATAAAGTAATAAAGTAAAATAGGCAAAGCTTTTAAATATTTTGAAATGTGAAAATGTATAAAATTAAATACATTAAAATGTAAATAAAAAAATAAAACAGTGAAATAATATTAATACAATAATAAAAATAAAGAACCTGGTACTGCGGGTCCTTTGTGAGTCGGCTGAGCTCTCGGAACTCCAGCTGAATGCTGGTCACCTCTGCGACTGTGCTGTCTGTGGTCCAGCGTGGAGGGTGAGCACTTCCTTTACCAATGTTCACGTCAGAGTAGGGGATTTTAGATGGGGTTTTGAAGGCAGGCATTAATCTGGACCCAATGTCTTGCTGCAAGAAAAGAGACACAACATGTATTGAGGTCTGTGGTCTATTAAAATTGTTGCATCACATGACTTCGCTGTATGAGCCAAAATAAAATAATGAGCTATACTTTGCATTTACTAGGACAAAAAAGAATAATAATGGAGATGATACTAAGATATGAAGTACTTACAGCTTTATCCAGGAAGAGAGTGTCTCCGGTCAGATGGTATGTGCTCAAGAGACCCCCCAATATACGGATGGTACTCTCAAAAAGATTCACGTCTACATTCTTGGAAAATAACAATTCTGTCTCAACCCACTTCCTGGCCTCGGCAAACTCTATTACAGAAAGAATTAGAGAGAGGGGAAAAGACAAAAGAAGGGACATAAAGAAAAAATATTATTTTTCCATTATTATTTGAAGTTTTTATTGCTTAATATATATATATATATATATATATATATTTTTTTTTTTTTTCATGGGTGTTTCTTTAGATATGGGCACTTTTGGCTCTGTGGACTTTTTCAAAACACACTCTCTAGTTTATTTACATTTATCTACTAACAATGTCCAACAAAGAATATGGAAATAAGGTTTTTTAGATTTTTTTTGTATGTAGCCATCAGATAATAAATGCTTTTTAGTCTGAAAGAGTGCAATGGTCATCCTAAAATTTTCTTTGAAAGAATATGGAAAATTTAAAAAAAAATTGCAGCTTGATGGGAAATGACACGCGATACAATTTTAAAAATATATTTTATGCAAGTAAAATTATTTGCCTTGATATTTCTTTATTTTCTTCACTTTTCACATCTCATATTTCATCTCAAGAATACACTTCACTGACACTGTATTTTTATTTTTTTTTATAATTTTCACACAGTAAATAACAAAATGGATGGATTTTCCTATTTTAAGATTGCAAGACAAAAGTAATAAAATTCATAAATAAAAGCCATCTGAAAAGTAGCAATAAAAGAAGGAAATGACTTTTAATAAAAATCAACTTCTGGGAATTAAAAGTGCCTGTGGCTGAAAAAACACCCTCATGTTGAAAATTGGAAAGAAAACAAAGAATAGATTTGAAATTTGCACACAGTGGTCATGAAACAGACTGGCAGACAGAACTGCGATTATAAGGCTAACCGTCTTTCAGTCCCAAGATCCACATGGTGTCCAGTGCATCTATGAGAGTGAGGCCCAAGCCAAACCACTCTCCATGGGTCTTAGATATGGGCTTCAGTTCATCATGACCCCACGCAAAAGCCTTGTAGCCATTCCATGCGTGCCTGAAGGCCTCCCGCACCGCTTCCACACGATCCACGGCCTTCACTGTCAATGAGTACAACAAATAAGTCACAGAAAAATATTGAGAAGATGATCACATGTCTGTGACGGTTGATCTTAAGCACAAGCCAAACTTCGGCACGTAATCCTGCAAAGACAAATACCTCAAATTGTGGGATGAATTCTGATACCTGGTTTTAAGCTGGCAGAATCCTCGGCATCAGCCACAGTTCCTTCTTTTCCATGTGCAGTGGACTGAAGCTCCGTCCCCTGCTCTGCCTCGATCATCGCCCCACGCCAGCTAGGAATCCAGAAACTGGATCAGTTGTGACAGCAGTTTTTCTAAGATCCAACCCATCACCTGTAATAGCACCGTTTCCTCCCACACGCCTCACGAATATAACTGCAATTACACACGAGCAGGAGGTGGAGTCCCGCAACAGGACACAGCTGGAGGAAATGAAGGCTCATCACAACTCACTTCAAAACCACTGTGTTACCAGCTCAACTGTTAATAAACTCTTCCCTGGGGCGCTAGCACTGCACCCGAGTGTTTATCTTCAGCTCCTGTTGTTTATTTCTCTGCTCTTTCTAAAAAGGAGAGTTCATCCTAAAATGAAAATTATGCTATTATTTACACACTCACAAAAATTTTGATATTTTGATATGTTTAGCATGCTTTCTGTCACTGTAAGGAGCCCCAAGTGTGTGAGTGAGACTAATAGCAATAAGCACCAATAAAAATCATAATTACTATCTGAGCTTTAATACCTCTACTTATTCAAAAGGTTAAATACTAAGCCAACAACAAATAATTGTCAATGTCGAATCCTAGGCAAATCATCATCAAAACTCTCATATAAAAGTGGCCTCATTTCTTGAATGTAATCAGACCAAACCTAATGACTGCTTTTGCTTCTTTCCCTCCGTCTTCATCTCTCTTGACCGTGGCTGCTTCTTCATCTTTCACCTGCCAGTCTGACACATTCCCTCGCTTCTGTAGGGCTGGAAGACCACGCTTGCTAGGGGGCTTCCTCTGCAGATTCAAAGCACCCAACATAAAAAGACAAGAGTAGGTGAAGAATCTAGTAGAATCTATCATTTTAATCTAGTATCTTATAAGTTAGCTGAATTAATGTGCTTAGATCAGCATGGTTATGGTTTACTTTATTAATATAATATTAAAATATATTAATATTAAAATAATATTAGTTTCTATTTTTTATTATGAATTTAGAAATACTAGAAAAAGTTTTTTTGGGCTTTTTAAATTTTTTCTTTATTACTATTAATATGAATTTATTTATTTTTAAATTACTTTTTAAATTACTTAATATTATATATATATTTAATTGTTATTTTGGTATTTTTTTATTTAATAACTTAATATAATTATATAATAACACTAATATAAATAATATTTATTTATTTTAATGCTTTTGTTTTGAATTTAGAAACAATAGTAATCTTTGTATCTTTTAAATTATTTACTAAATATGCATTATTAATATGAAATTGTTAATGCTTTTATTTTGAATTTAGAAACAACTGAAATTTTAATTTATTAATATAATAATACTAATTTTAATAATATTTATTTATTGAAAAAACTATTTTGAATGAAGAAAATAATGCATTTTACAGCACAATTCTTGTTTAAGGTTTAAGCTGATCTTTTCAGCAGGAGCTGTAAAAACCTTTGCAAACGAGTAGAGAAATTATAAAGTAACCATACTATTGTACATATCCATAATATCTGAGAAGTCTTCCTACTTACCATAGCTGGAGGTTTGGGAAGTAATGGAATGCTTGGTCTTTGAATTTCCGGCATCACTTCTGGTGGGATGTCCTGGACCCCCGGGACAACTCCTGGTGGGAGATTTGGGACGAGGCCAGGAGGAATGGGCCTGAGACCTCTGTTATCCATTTCAACCCAGTCCTCCTTCAACAATCTATCAGAGAGTCCTGGAGTTATTTTGAATTTAGAAACAACTGAAATTTTAATTTATTAATATAATAATACTAATACTTAATAATATTTATTTATTGAAAAAACTATTTTGAATGAAGAAAATACTGCATTTTACAGCACAATTCTTGTTTAAGGTTTAAGCTGATCTTTTCAGCAGGAGCTGTAAAAACCTTTGCAAACGAGTAGAGAAATTATAAAGTAACCATACTATTGTACATATCCATAATATCTGAGAAGTCTTCCTACTTACCATAGCTGGAGGTTTGGGAAGTAATGGAATGCTTGGTCTTTGAATTTCCGGCATCACTTCTGGTGGGATGTCCTGGACCCCCGGGACAACTCCTGGTGGGAGATTTGGGACGAGGCCAGGAGGAATGGGCCTGAGACCTCTGTTATCCATTTCAACCCAGTCCTCCTTCAACAATCTATCAGAGAGTCCTGGAGAATAAACAGACAGAAATTCATCCCATGTGAATTATTAACAACAAAAGGCATGATGTTTAATAAAAACGTCTACCCCAGCAGCTAATATAAACGGGCAGAGGTTGTACCAATCATCCACCTTTTGTGCTTTCACCTTTCATATCCTGTGAATTGTCATTAAAGGGGCTGTATGAAGTACCTCTCCACTGCTCTGTCAGGCTGGGATAGGAAAGAATCCCGCAGATGAACAGGAAGGCCATCAGGAAAAGAATCAGGCTGCGCTGAAGCCGAGAGAGCTGCTTCCATTTCTGCCAAAACAAACACAAACAATTCAAGGACAATTGGAGGAAAGTGCAGCAATTTTACATTTGATGGCTTGATGTGGCAATCACAATGACTGCCAAATATAGTGCTATAAAAATAAAGCAACATGGAAACAACAGTATGATTTTTCCCTCACTCAAAAGAAATTTTCTCTCAGTACAGACCTCTTTATAATTTAATCAACCTAATTAACTCAATCGACATGAATCTCAGATAATGGAAGACATTAAAGGGATAGCTCACTCAAAAAATTCATTAATTTCCTTAAACCTGCATCATTTTCTTTCTTCTGTGAAACAAAAATTAGATACACTACCTTTCAAACGTTTGAGGTCAGTTGGACTTTTTAATGTTTTTGAAAGAAGTCTCTTATGCTCACCAAGGCTGCATTTATTTGATCAATAATACAGTAAAAACAGTAGTATTTTGTAATGTAATTTATGATATCAAATCAGAATTTTCAGTTGACATTACTTCAGTTTTGAGTGTCACATGATTCTTCAGAAATCATTCTAACATGCTGATTAGATGCTAAAGTAACATTTCATATTATTACCAATGTTGTCCATAGCTTTGTGTGAGGAACAGACTGAGTTAAAATTTGTTAGCAATTCGCGTTCTCGATTTTCTATTTTAGTTCAACTCACTGTGCTTTGTTTGCATTTTTTAGTGTTTGTATGTCTTTTTTTTAAGCTTAAATGCCATTGAACTGGTGTTGCATGAACAAGATTCTCCTTCTGGGTTCCCAAGAAAAAAAAAAAAACAGCATGTGGTTCAGATAGACATGACAGTGACTACATAATAGCATTACAGAGTTTTCATTTTTGAGCTGTCTGTTCCTTTAAGCTACGTTTTTAAATTAAAAGGTTAGTTTGTTCAAGCAAAACAAGTGTGTTTCAGCTAAGCAGGGAGTGCATGTCTGCTTTTTGGAGATAATGAAGTATAAACAAATTAGTAGATTAAATAAAAAATGGGAAAAAACAAGGGCTTTGACACCTCTGGTTTGGCTAGGACTAAACATGACAACTACAGTGCCAGCATTTTGTTCTCAGAATATTAAATAGATGTCAAGACGTCTCGCAGATGGGAAAATGGCACTCATTTACACAAACAAACAAAGAGGCAGAAGCCATCAGCCTTCGAACATCATCGTTAATCAATGAAAAATACATAATGGTCCATATTTCTGTCCTGCAAAACAAGGTTTATATGGCATTTTAAGAAGAAAATACCCAGCCACTAACCCTCCAGCAGGACTGTCTACGGTGCTTGCCGTTGCTGTAGCTGCGGCTGTGTTGGTCTCCCAGCGTCAGAGAGACAAAGTCCTTTCTCTGTGGCGAGTACATCTCTAACACAGCCACCACTCAAAGACACTGGATCAAATAGGTGAGAAAGGGGAAAAAAAAGACAAGAATGACACAGATATCAAGTGATTTTTCCCACAAAGCACTATTCGTAACATGAGCTGAGCACATGAAGGTCTATTGCTCCAGCATCGCTGATATTTGCAGGTCCCGGAGGAGAATCAAGGTGTAAAATACAGATCTGTTCACAAGATTAATTACCACCGGACTAAATCTGGAGTAAACCGAGGCAGGGGGCGGCACACTGGCATCCATCTGATCTGAGAACACCATGGGACAGTGCCGTTCACCGCATTGTCCCAGGGCTATGAGAACCATGTAAGAGGGGATTAGGAACATTAGCCTAAGTGCATCTGGTTTCTATCATACCAACCTGTGCTTATTGGATGGGATAGATTTAAAGACACTGGCCTGCCAAGATGACACACATATGCTGCTTATACAGGAGAAAGTTGTATGCTGGTTGTCCCAAATGCAAATTACAAGTAAAATCATCTGAGTGTGTAATTTAAGTGTGCAATGAACTACAAGATCTGTTTTTGAGACAAGGTTCCCACACCTTCAAACCATTTGCATGACCTTTCCT